AGCTTATTTGAATTGACCGATTCTTGATCGTAGGGCCTTTTAACTTAATCTAGGTGGTCAAATTGATCTAATCCATCCTTAAACTTCCCTTTCAGCAACATCTCTTTCGTTTGTTTGTCTTTAACATCACAAAAGTCAGAGTGAAACTCTATAAATACATCATTTCAGCAATTAATTGTGAGACACTTATCAAATTTTTCTGAATTCATGGTACCAGCAGAACATTTCTGGGAACCAATTATTTGCTATTACGTGTGCTCAAGTAATTTGTGCCAATGTGAGAGATATGAAGTTTATTTCCATTACCAACAGTAAGACTCTCCTTACTACCATACTCGTGTGCTTCAAACAAGTTTCATTTCTCACTAGTTATGTGATTGCTTGCTCTTGTATCTGCAAACCAAGTTGGATCTGCAACAGATCTTGATGAGACCACAAGTGCACCTGGTTGTGAGGAGTTGCTTTGATAGTACTGATTAGGTTTGGTACCCATTTATCTCTCATCATAACGGTTGAAGCACTTCTCATCTGAGTTATTACTCATCCTACATATTTGACATGGTCCTTTATTTCCAATTTTCCTGCCTCCTTTGCCTCTGCTTCTTCCTTCTTTGTTGTTAAAGTTTCTTTCACCATAGTTAAACCTTCCTCCTCTGTTTGTGTTGGATCTCTGCACAAAATTTGTTGAGGCTTGACTTAAGTTAACTGAGACTAGGCTATTTTTCACAGTATTTAAATGTTCAATCCTGCTTTCATAGGTCATCAGTACGGACTACAGCTCACGCTAAGAGATGGACTCCTTACTATTGATTTGAACTAAAATAGGGGTGTATTTTTATCCAATCCAACAAGCACTTGGGTAACAAGATCAGCATGAGAAATGCATTTTCCAGCTATTTCAAAGTTGTTTGCTAACTGCTTGATTATGTTGAGGTATTGATCAAAAATCATTGAACATTTCCTTGTCCTTTGAAATTCACTGATAAGGAAGGTTATTCTCGATTTATACATAACTCTAAATTTACTTGGACTACATTCCAAAGATTGTAGGAATTTGAAGATCCCATCACTCTCATTGCTATGTCAGGTGCCATAGACGAATACAACCAACCCATCAATAGTTGATCAATGGAAATCCATTTCATATATTCAGAATTTTGAGTCATCTCCACGGTGACACCAGCAGCACCAATGGTTTTAGTTGCCAAAAACTCTGCTTGACAAACTTTTGTCCCCGTAATGAAGCCTTCAAGATTATGTCCTCTAATGATTGGCATGACCATGTTCTTCCAAAGTAGAAAGTTGTTCCTAAACTTGGGTAAGGCTTATCCCAAGTGATGGCAGTTGATTTCCTACCAGCATTGAATGCATCAGTGTGTTTGAAGTGGGCTGAGCTGATTGAGCAATGCCATTGGATCTGGTATTAGCTATTGATGGCTCTGATACAAAGTTAGAGTTTGATTTAAAAAAATTGAAGTTGCAGTAATTGAAATGATAATCAAAGAATTGCATTAAGTTTTCATAATAATAGTATACAAAGATCAATGTATATATACAAATTTCTTGGAGTAGCAAACGAGCAAAAGAAGTGTCAACCATGTGATGTGACCATGGGAATCAAAATAGTTATAACAACTCAATTGTGTTTCCAAAGGTGCACATTAGCAGCTGATCTTTTGATGTCAATCCATACAAATAGCTGAATTTGTCAAGTGAAAATATATTTCAACACTTTATCAAATAAATTTTCAGAATTTCATCAAATTACAAGGGGCATATTTGGAAATGATTATAAACTATTTGAGTTTGTTAGAAGTTTTTGTTGTAAATGGTAAGTTATTGGTGAATGATAATTGTACCCTGCAGTTCTAGAAATTACTATCATATGTATCCATAATCCTTTCCTATAATTATACGACTTTGGTTCTCATTATAATACACACAAGTTTATTGACTTTTATTCTCTGATCTCTTTTTCTCTCTTTTCACAACAGGTTATCAGCACGATTCTCTCAAAATCAAAGTAGATTAGTTATAAGGTAATAATTTTTAAGCATAATTATCTATCATGTGTACCAAAATTAATTTGATGACATGTGAATTTTTTTTATATATACATATTATGCTAGTGAATGATTTTTCTTGTATACAAAGTGGATGATTTTTTATACATGGTAGAATGATTTCTCGTAATTGTATGATTGCAACTTTTGACTTTCTACTGCAGTTGTACCCAGTTTCTTGTTTCTTCCTGCTCACTCAAATTTTAATTATATATACATGTGTACCATCTGTTGTACCCAACTTTTTGATTTTACCGTAATTTTGTGTATTGGTTTCGGTGAAACAGCTTCATTGGCACATCAATGATTTTAGTAATTGATGGCTACATGTCTTCTTTTTCCACTTTAGCAAATTACCACTGTCTGATTTTTATATGTATAATATGATGTTAAATAATTCTTTATAATTAACTCTTTGTTCCTGGAATACTTTTGGAATTTCTTCAAGATATTCCAATTTATAATTATGACGCGGGATTTCTCTAAAATATTCCGATTTATAATTATGTCGCAAATTACCACTGCCTTATTGCATGGTTGGAGATTTTAATTCCTTTAACAACGTATTAATGCATGATTGGAGATTTTAATCCTACCTCGTGTGTATATGAATTTTTTTTCCTAATACATGTATGGTAATTAATATTTTTTTAACTTGGTTAAATATTTTTAGATATAAACTTTAAATTAATAATTTATCACATTGTTGCTCATGAAGTAGCACAACATTATAATTAATATTTCAAAAGAATATTACTTGCTCTTGAAGAGCATGAATTATAATTTTCAATATCTAAGAAGAATATTGATATATTGCTCTTGTATAAGAAATAGTAAAATACAACGTGCTTCAGAAATAGCACATGCTTCGAATAACATATTATTTAGCCCCTGTTTGACACCCATTCTGTTTGAAAAATAATTTATGGAATAGTGATTGATGGAAGATTGTGTGGTTCAAAAGTAAGGAGAATTTTTGAGTTTATGTGTAATATTAAGAATGTGTGGTTGAAATGAAGAAAGAGAAATAGAAAGAAAAAAAAAAGGGTAACAAACAGGGCCTTATTTTAAGTAAGTGTTTTATCCCTGAAAGAAAACCTGCAGCTTATGTCATGTTGATATTGTGTGATATATAATCGTATCCTTTGAGATTAGTTATATTTTATTTTATGATGAAGTTACTCAAATAATAAATATTACAAAATTCGAGATGAATTGTCGAGATATCTGTTTGGTTGATAGTGAAAATATGCACACTATTCTTCAAGATAAAAGTTTTTTTTTGGACTTAACATTATTAAAAAATAATGTTAATACAATATCAAGTGCATCGAACATTGTTGAAAACTTCGGAAGAGCTTGTATTATTTTATCAAATAGTACAAAATTATATATTAAGATGCACCTTATTCTAGCAAATTTAGAAGAAATTTGCTTAATTTTAAAGATATCTGCTGCAATGAGTATCACATTGAGACGATGCAAGAAAATAATGTTGAATAACTTTGCATAATTTCTTTTGAATCTGGCCAGAAGTTGATAACAAAAAAATTTTATACGTTCTCGTCCGACATGTATTATACATTTATTAAAATGGTCGAATCAAATATTATCACGACCCAAAAGTTCGTTGATCCAAATTTTTTTATACTTTGACATAATCGACTTGGACATCCAAGAGCTATAATGATGCATCAAATAATAAACAACAGCATAGACATCTTTTAAAGAACCATAATATTCTTTTACCTAATGATTATCCATGTGTAGCTTTTTTGCAAGGCAAGTTTGTCATTAAACTTTCGGCTACAAAGGTTAATATTGAATCTCCAAC